ATCATATCATGCTGGAAGACTATTTTTGATCAGAATTGGATGGACTTGACATCAGTGATATGGAGTTCCAACAAGAGGTACCACACAGTTGATCAAACTATTCAAGGGGAAGATTGGTAACTGTAATTTCGAGAAATGAGCAAGGCAACAATTTTGAACGCAAAATTGTTGTCAACATTGTCACAAAGAATCGTTTACTGTAAGCATATTCGCGAATTTTAAAGCTAAATGTAAGATATGTACTGCCTCTGAAATAAATTTCAACCCAACATCCCGATAGAAGAGGTAGTGAGTTTATGGTGCTAGCAAACATGGAAGAGCGATTTTCAATTGTAGATAACAACTTTGATATAAGCCTGAAAAGTTGTGGACATGAATCAACTCAACAAAACCCCGAGAGTTTGGCTGTTTATGAAAAAAAGTATATCTTAAAGAAAAAAATTTATGAAGAACTTTTGTCATCATAATTTTGTACAAACTAGATGCTCGAATTAGCTAATTGAGTCATGATGAAACGCTTAATATTTGAATATTAGTAAAACGTTTTTATAACAATATGCCAATAAGGAATCTAATAAAAAATCTAGCACATTCAAACCCCATTTTTTTTTGATTTCGACATTTCCATGGAAATTAGGCAAATTTAAAAGCGACCAGTTCTGCGACACCTGTATTTACACTGTTGTTACTAATTCAACACGTTCGCTGATATATGGCTCCCATGGGACCAACACAAAGGTTGCCTTAACCGACCTCATTGGTCCCATAGGGCCTGATCTAACGTCATTGTCTTCTAGGGGGCATATATTGAAATATGTTCTTGGCAGCGAAGGTGTTAATAAAATTTTTTTTTTAATTCTTAAATTTTTGTCATTATTTATCACAACAGTTGTACTTCCATTAATAATACAAACATCTTCTTACTAACTCAGTATCATATTCATTCAACTCAACTCAACTGTATAACTGACTCCAAATACAACTCGGCGAGGTTCATGGCACTGCTGTTAGTCAAGGTACTGTAAGAAGAAGACTTCGTACTCAAAATTTACGACCTCGGGCAGCAGCTACTGGCCACAGATTATCTGCAAACCACCAAAGAAACAGATTGGCTTTTGCAGGAAGGCGCGTGGATTGGGAAATTCATCATTGGGAGCAGGTGTTATTTACGGATGAGTCACGGTTTTGCCTTGTAAGTTCTGATCGTCGTCCAAGAGTGTACAGAAGGCTAAATGAAAGATATTTCACATGTAACATTCGAGAAACCACATTTATACAGAGGCGGTTCAGTGATGGTATGGGGTAGAATATCTTTAACAGCTCGCACGGAACTTTTTATCGTTGATGGTGGACACCTGAATTCTGAACGATGCATAACAGACATTTTAGAACCTTTTATGACACCTCTTGCACTTTACATTGGCGATGGGTTCATTCTTATGCAGGATAATGTGAGGCCACATGCGGCACATATTGTTACTGAATATTTAAATTATGTTAATATTCAAGTTTTCGAGTGGCCAGCCTGTAGTCCAAACCTGAACCCAATCAAGCATCTTTGAGACATAATGGGACGGAGGATTAGAAGTCAGCATCCACCACCTAACAGCTTAGACGAGCTGCGACAAAGTCTTATTCGCATATGGTAACATATCCCTCAAGAAACCATCAGATCTCTCTAATTGAAAGTATGCCACGACGATGTTAGGCTACAATAACAGCCAGAGGTGGTAACAGTAGTTACTGATTACCTAAATACGGTTCAAAAAAAAATCTTTGTGTTCGTAACAATAATGATCATTTTACATGATTTTGTTTATTTTCAGTTTTCGTTTATTTCCTACAATTCATTTAAGTCAAACTTATTGTTATTATCGAAATAATTCTGTCGAAACTATTCTTAATATGTTTTTCAAAATGTATGATAATTTTGACTTTATTTATAATAGGTTTGTTCGAGCAACGGCAAAACCAATCTGCAAATTGGGAGATGTAGCTGATAGATTTAATATTAGTATAAGTTCCCTACAAACTGTAATCCAGCGAACAGTGTATTTTATAAGCAACCTATCAGACGAAGTAATACAATGGCCATATACAATGTTTTCATATTTTTACTGTTCGAGCTGTGACAAATATCGTACTAGTTCGCAATTAATGGTTACGTGCGCATGCGCATTCATGAATGCACTAATTTGTCACAGACTAATACCTAATTCTCTGCTCGAACAAAACTAATAAATCGAAATTATTGTAGTAAATTGTGTAAATCGTATTATTGTGAAATTTCGTTGGCTTTATGGTGAACCTAGCCAAATGGATCGAACAATGTGCGGAATGGTCAAAACCGTTAGATCGCGACGGTTTCACCAGTGCAGTGACCTTGAGGTACTGTTTTCTTTAGTCATCGATTAGTTTACTCTTCAATAAGACGTTTAACACGATCATTTTACTAAAATAATAAGTAGTTAATAAATAAACTTAAATTAGAATCGTTGTTACCTTGCGTTGTGGCGGTTGCTCGTCAACTGATACCTGAAGGGGATACTTGATAGGTCTGGTCCCCAAAGAGCGACCGCTGGGAGTTCTGAACATATTGTATGAATGAGTGCCTCTTGCGTAAGAAGCTCTCAGTTCTCGACTCGCCGTCGTCCTTGATCTCGATGCCCGCCAACGGTGTATGTCTGTATCTTTAGTCTTTCGGGAATTGTTCTTATTACAAAAAATTAAGAATGTCCAAGAACTCCATACGTATGGAAATTTATTGAAACTTTTATTCCGGTTACTTTTTTTTGTAATTTATTTGCAAGTTTTAAACTATGTAATATCTGCATATAATCATTTTTAAATAGAAAAAAAAGAAAAAATGTTAGTTTATTAACTCTTCCCCTCTCGAAAATTCCAAGAAGGCGCGCCGCACTCGACGAGCAAAATTCACGCAAGTCGTTGAACTCAAACATTCCGCTCCCATCTCGGGGAGCTCGTAAATCCAAGCAAACGTCATAATAGGCAGAGTCATCCCTTTTCAGCCCCTCTTTTTCTTCGAGTTGAGTTGGTATTTTTAAGGAAGCAATTAAAATCCCCTAAAATATACGTTGAGCGAGAACAGACGTCCCAGTCTTTCTTGCTGTCACCGGTGGCGTTGACGGAAAGAAACGTAACATTTTCTCCTCAGTGACACATACACATGTTTTACTTTTCAACCTTCCAACGGGAATTGCGCGCATTCCTAGATAATCTTCGGTGCATATACTGTAGATTTCGCGTGACCAGGGAAATTGCAATTAGGCACCGGTGCTTGTTTTATTTGCCCAACCGTTCGCTATTGTGCACGCAACTTTCCGGCAAATCGCACGGAGATACAGATCTCTCCTATTGTCAGCTAATTGCTAATCGACCCATTGTTTTTCTTTCGAATTACTAAATTAACACTGTGCTAAACATGAAACGTAACTTTCCAAAATTAATTTGTTGTGAAGAAATTTTTTTTTAGATATAAATCTTTATAAAATTGATCACACATTTATTCGATTAACTTTCCAGTATGTACATATATGCGCTTACACAGTTACACGCGGTTTTATTATTATTTATTATTACACATCTCAGTTTTGTTATTTAGTTTTTTGTATTAAATCCACATAACGTAACCTATTTGTATCATAAGCTAAGATATGCGCGGATTTACTACTTTTATTGTTATTAATGTATTATATTTAATTATTTAATTAACACTAGCGCTTAACTATCTTCAGAAACAAGTCTCAAATGTTCAAAATATACAACAACTTGGCGTTGTATAACAACTAAAACTAAAGTTAATTTAACACTATCAGTAGAACTAACACTGGACCTAGAACTAGACGGCTAAATCCGATCCTTGTGGAAATATTGCCAATTATTAAAGTATCCTCTTTTTAGAGTTGCTTCGTTAGTTAAATCAGCATCAAAAAAGTTCATTTTATATCTTGGATCCAAATAAGTTGACATATCTTATCAGCTGTCTTATTAATTTCATTTTTGTTCAAATATCGCAATAATGTGGCAATGTAGGGTAGTAGCATTTCAGAAATGTACCAGAAATTATAGCCATAATGGCGGGATAGATATGCCGAATAATCGGATATCCGGCCGAAGGGAATGCCAAATATCCGGTTTTTCGCAAAATCACTATTTTTTCCATCACTACTAAAAAGATATTAAAATCGATCGTTGCTTCGTAAAATAGGTTTAAATCAAAAACACACATCATTTTGTTTATACACAAAACATTCTATGGAATCGGTCTATTTAGATTTAAAATCCAAACACTCACTCGTAAAATAAACAACTTCTTCTTTTGTAATAAAACTTTATCAAAGGAGTTAAGCCTAAAATAATAAATTAATTTAAACTATTTATCCGTTTCTAATGATTTATTATTGGAAGCTGTTGAATTTTAGACTGCTCATTTACCTAGTCTTCATAGATTCGTTAATATTACAGACACAAACAACACATTCGCTGACGTTATTATGTTCGTGCTAGAGTTTCCTCGAGCGTAAATTTTCTGCTCCGAATACGTAACGTAATCCAGAGTCTCAAGTCCCACACAGCTTTTGCTCATTGAGCTGTAACTCGAGTGCGTATCCGCTGTCGTCTGCATAATAAAACGTTGTTGCAGTTGGAAAGGGTCGCGCATTGAGTTGGCGGAAGTCGTCGAACCGGAAAAGACCCTTCTTCCTGTCGAACGCGGCACGTGTCCCAAATCGGAAACTTCCACGTTTGGTTCGGTCCGTAAGAAGAATGCGCTTCGGGGTATTGTTCCTCCACTCTAAAAACAGATCAATTAAGAACAGACCACGCCCGGCGTCACTCCTTCTTTCTATAAATAAAATCTTCTAATTGCCGTTAGTTAATGCCAAGAGTACTTTGACCACCACATCAATGATGCAATCTTTATGATTTCTTTTAAAATTTCTTTTTAACGTTTTATCTAATTCGAATATTTTTTTATGCAGATTCTCTTGTTCCGCAATCACCGTTGCACGTGGAGGCGGACGTTAGTCAGGATCCGAGGCTAATAACGCTCGAAAAACAACTCAATATCGAACTGAAGGTTAAACAAGGGGCTGAAAATATCATTCAAACAATAAATGGAGGTCCACATCGCGACAAGAAATTATTGGCTGAAGCTCAACAAATGCTTTTGGATTCAAAAGCAAAAATAGAGTTTTTAAAGATGAGAATTTTAAAAGTAAAGAACGATATAAATAATAAACATCATGGATCGTTGCATGATTTAACCAATGGGGATACTGCCGCATTGGAATTAGAACCACCTTTGGAGGAGAGAATAGAAGATATCAGACATAGGCTCAGGATAGAGATGGCTGTGGTAGAGGGAGCTAAAAATGTTATTAAATTACTTCCAGGAAAGGATAAGAGTGATAAAAAAGCTTTGCAAGAGGTAAGAAATTTTTTGTTTTTATTGTGATGGCTTAGTTGAGGAAAGAAATCGTTAATGAGTGAAAGTCGGTTTGATTAAGTGATGTTTGTTTTGTAATTTAATGGGAATTTTTTTTCTGGATTATATTGCGCATATTTTAGAATTTAAATACGTATGACACATCCTGTTTAGCCTCACGACATTATTTATGGGTGGACATAAACTAAATTGAAAAAATAATTAAGTTATTAGTTTATTTATTAAGATACAAAAGTGTATTAGTTTAGTTTGAAGAAACTAACAAGTTTTTAAAGAGACCAATTTCTTGAAATTAAAAAACATTGAAATTGCGTAATATTTTCTCTATCTTTTTTCTACGACTTCCGTCGCTCATTTGTTCTATTTTCACCGGCGAGGCTACAGGTGCCAGTGTCCACCACCATGCAATTTCGTTCTAATTCTGTCCAGTCCAGTTTTCGAAATAGGCCCGGCCAACTTCGACGCGCGCGGTTTTCAGTTTCAACGCAACTCGCGATTAGCAACCAACGCGCTGTATCCTAAAATCCTAAAATAAAACGCGCTGTTTACACGCAATTTCTCAAACGCGATTATTATCAACGTTGTTGGCCGAAATGTAGTCTACGATGTTCCGTAACGATCAACAACCGCAACAGTGGACGGTCCACGCAGAGTTTACCATTAAACATGACGGTCTCGACGATGTCTCTTCCGTTCCTGTCACGCACACTGAGCGCGATGAAAACGGGGTCAAGATGGTGTATACCTGGACGTCGCAAGATAATCCATCTAGTAGCAGATCAACGGATAGATCAACACCGGAAGTTGTGAAGGATCCACAACTTCCTTACGGTTTTCAAAAAGGAAATTTAGTGTTTACGTCGACGCCACCAAAACGGCAAGTTGATTCGTCTGGATATGGAAGTGAATTACTCTCGCCGAATTCATCAACATCTAGACAACAACAAAATTATAATAGACGGTGTCGAAGTACGTGCAGTATTATACTTTCGACCGATTTCAACGAAGCCAAACCGGATCACCAGGATTGTGGGAGAACTCAAAGTTTACGATGCCAAACGCCAACCGTGCGGTCGGAAAGACGTGATAGTTTTTATGGATGTGGTGATCCTTGGTGTTACCATGCGTGCAACGAAGATTATTGTCGATTTCCGACTGTACAAGAATGTGATGAATATTCTGGAAGTTCTAAAAGACCATCGAGAGCAAGCACTTTTAATGTACGTTCGAAAAGTTCGCCGCCAAAATTCGATGCTAAAAAAGACGCTTCGGTACAAACATACGAAATGATCGATAAGTGTACTTCGCCGTTTCCTGGTTCCGAAAGAAAATTGTCATCCGAATCTAACGAATCGAAACTAAAAAGACAGAGACAACTCAACAGAAAATCGAGTTACGGAAATACCCGAAGGAAAACTGAACCTATTTATCAAAGAACCACCCCATCGACTTTCAGCCCGGATAGTTTGGATAATCAATCGGTAATCATATTCTTTTAAATAATCGTTTACAAGTTGGGCGCCTTGGTATTCATTTTTGTTTCTCGTTTTCTATTTTTGTATTTTTTACGACTTTAAATCCAATAGAATCCTTTTGATCGTTGTTTTATTTTTGGTATTCTCAAAGAAATAACGTTAGATTATCAAATACCCAGCCAGCATTCATTACGAGGTGTGATAAATTAGAAACTGGTTTGTACGGTGGTCAAAAACAAATTTAAACCCACCCACGTGTCCCACATTTTAAGTTAGCTGCCGTAGTTATTTTGCCAGAACACGTCTTATACCAATATTATTCTAATTCTAATGTAAGTTTAAAGTAATCTCGTCATTTAAAACTCTAAATTATTATTAATGTTGAATAAAAGAATCTTTATTACTCATATTCGCATAATGTTCAAAGAAATAAATCTTAATCAAGAATGAGTACCAAGGACCCACTTTGCAGGTGTTCGCGTTGCTATTTCCGCGATTTTGAAATTATTCTCATTTATTTATAGAACGTCAAACGAACAGTGAAAGCTCCCAAAGGGCAACTATCCAAGACTTCTACACCTGACTCAAAATCCAGCGAAAAAAAGCCGAGAACGGTTCATATCGACGTTTATTGTACCGGAACCGAACTAGAATCTAGTTCTTCGTGTAGCGATTCAGAAACTAATAAAACTACGTCATCGCCACAAACGGTTTTTGAATCGGAAAAGTTTAGGTTAACCCACAAAAGAGTGGATAATGACCTTCCGTTCACTTTAAGAAAAAATGAGAGTAAAGATTCGAAAATTAGTACGGATTCGTTAAAAAAATCCGCTGGTAAAGAGGAGTCCGATAACGATGGTGACTCAACAGCTTATCCCTCACAAAGAAGTTCCTATTCCAATATCAAAGATTTTAGATCCAGCTTATCAAGCGTCCCCCCTTCATGGTCAACTATGTCAATGTCAAGTTATGCCCTTCCTGATGATGATTCCGTCGCTAACACATCTTGGAAGGACACGTATTCCGATTTAGGGAGTTTATTAGAAAGTAGATCGAGTTTAGCGCAAACGGAAAGTTTAGATTTCGTACCTAGAAAATTAATACAACGGGAAAGTATTGATGAAGCTCCCGAAATAACCGGCAGAGGTAGTCTTCAACCCAGCGATAGTTTTGAGTATGCTAATTCCGAAGATAAAGCAAGAATCAAACAGATGGAAAGAATGTGGGGTAATGACGCTCCAAATTCGGCTCAAATCCAAAAGAAACATCTTGTACAACAAAAGAAACTTCAAGAGTACATGGATAAAAGAATGAGTAGTAATCAAAGTATCCCTAAATGGAGACAATCGAAAGATAGCGATTCAGGAACTGATAGCGATGAAAAAGGTTGGGATGTTGATCCGAAAAAAGTTGCGGAAACCGTGGTGAAATGTGCCGAAAAAAAGATACAAAGTGATCCATCTAGAACTCCGAGTATTTTAGCTATTAAACAAAAATTAAGTTTGGATCCAACATTAAGTTCACCGTTTACTATGTTTCCTGGAGTATACACGGATCAAAGAACCGTAGCGAGACGTTTTGGAAATATCGTGAATGTTTTTAAAAAACCTGGTCACCATATTGGACCTGCCAAAAATCCAGATTGTATGTGCGACCACTGTCGACAGTATTTCCAAACTTATGCGATGAGAGGACGAGCTAGAAGTTGGGGTGACTCACAGGTTACCATGAATTGGAAAGAAATGGCCAGAGCTTCAGTTCCGCGAGATTCTGAACATAATCGGTTGAATAAACCAGATGAAGGATACACTGACTTCTAAAATATTTAGGCATTTCTAAATGTCGTCTTTTTCTGTGCTGCTTCTTTTGTATTTTTTTCTGTACATTGTCGATGTTGAATAAAATAAATTTCTTTTAAGTTTCTAAATTTTTGATTTTTTTCTAAAACCGAATTTATCACTTACGAAAATATCGAAATAAATTATATTAATACGTTTTCTTTTCATATAGGCTCAATCAAGTTTAGAAGCTAGTAGTAAAAAGTTAGACCTTTTAAGAAAGTCTTTAGAACTGAGAAGACAAGAATTACCACCAGATTGTCGCATAGCTCAAATGCTCAAAAGAGAATTACAAACTGTTCAACAAGCCAGTCACTTACCAGTGCAATACACAAGCCTCCAACCGTTTAGAGAAGGAGCAGAAGGCAGTAAGCTCAATAGTTCTTTATCAACCGCTGGTAGAAGCGCTTTGGTGACTGGAATATTAGAAGTACGCCTGATGGGTTGCCAAGATCTTTTAGAAGATGTTCCTGGACGTTCGAGAAAAGATAGAGACGTCACATCAAGTCCGTCTGATTTAAGAAACTTTATGAAAGGTGTAACAGGAAGGAGTTCTTCAAAGAGTTATAGCGTAAAAGATGAAGTCAGCAATGAAATTATGGCGGTTTTGAAGTTGGATAACCAGACTGTTGCTCAAACTAGTTGGAAACCATGCTCACAACAAGCTTGGGATCAAAGGTTTTCAATCGAGCTCGATAAATCTAGAGAAATGGAAATTGGAATTTATTGGAGAGATTGGAGATCGTTATGTGCCGTTAAATTTTTGAAATTAGAAGAGTTTATTGATGATGTTCGTCACGGAATGGCCCTACAATTGGAACCGCAAGGATTGCTTTTTGCAGAGGTAATTTTTAAAACAAAATAACAAATTATACATCAAATTTTGTTTTAGATCAAGTTCCTTAACCCAATGATTACAAGAAAACCAAAACTAAAACGCCAACGTAAGATATTTAAACAAGAAGTGAAGAATTTCCCAAGAGCCAACCAGATGAATATAAACGTGGCTACATGGGGAAGGTTGTTAAAAAGGAGTGCTCCAACAACAATTGATATAGTACAAACACCAGAACCAGAGTCTTTTGTAACGCCTGAAGATAAACCAGAAACTCCTGGAGAAGTTCCTGATCCCCAAATGGGTGGTTTGGGTGGTCAGAGACCTCTTGGAATTGGTCTGCCAGTTTTGCCACCAGAATTACCTCCATTGCCACCTACAGTTCCTCCTCAAATTGTGAATAAGAAGAAACCACCGCAGACGCCACCACCTCCTTTACCACCAAGGCTTGATTTAGATGAAGTAAGTTTTTTTTTTTTATTGATTTAATAATTTAGTAAGAATTTTGTTAGTGGGTAAGGAGCTTGGTATGTTGTTGGGTTGGGGGGGTTGTTATGTTAAATTAGAAGCACTGTCACGTTGGCTAGTTGTCGCACAGTATTGTGTTTGCTTTTTCAGAGTCTTGTACTAAGAGAATTTGATTTTTTGAATGAGGAACGGGAATTCATGAGACCCGGACCTCTTATTCTTAATTTCCCACCAACTGCACCCGTTCAACCCCAAGAGCTTGGCGTACCACCAACACCAGAGCCTGTTGTAGAATTTCCTGATGATGAGGTATGCAAAGCATTTTGTGAGCACTATACATATATTCACGTAGAATATTGTCTTTTTTTATTTGGCGATTTCTGCATTTTAATCTTCCCATAATTTGTTAATGCAATTTTTATTTAGGTTATCCCAATTTATGATCCTGTAAACGTTCCAAGACGTCCACCACCACGCGATCCACCAACCGGATACAGAGATAGTGCGTACGAATCGCGTCGTCACTCACAATACACCGGAATGTGCATGGACAATTTCAAATTGATCAGCGTATTAGGCCGCGGTCATTTCGGCAAAGTTATCTTATCCCAATATAGAAACACCAACGAGTATTTTGCGATTAAAGCTTTGAAAAAAGGCGATATCATAGCGAGAGACGAGGTCGAATCCTTACTTTCAGAGAAGCGTATTTTTGAAGTAGCAAATTCCATTCGTCATCCATTCCTCGTCAATCTCTTCGCTTGTTTCCAAACGGATGCTCACGTTTGCTTCGTCATGGAGTACGCTGCCGGTGGGGATTTAATGATGCACATCCATGCGGATGTTTTCAGTGAGCCCCGCGCTGTTTTTTACGCCGGATGCGTAGTTTTGGGATTACACTTTTTGCATGAAAATCACATTATTTATCGAGATTTAAAACTGGATAATTTGTTATTGGATACGGAGGGTTTTGTGAAAATCGCCGATTTTGGATTATGCAAGGAAGGAATGGGTTTTGGGGATCGAACTGGAACTTTTTGTGGCACCCCAGAATTTTTAGCGCCTGAAGTATTAACTGAAACTTCCTATACAAGAGCTGTTGATTGGTGGGGATTGGGTGTTTTAATTTTCGAAATGTTAGTTGGGGAATCTCCATTCCCTGGTGATGATGAAGAGGAAGTTTTCGATTCTATTGTTAATGAGGAAGTTCGGTATCCGCGATTTTTATCCTTGGAATCCATAGCAATTATGAGAAGGGTATTTTTTTTGGTTTATTTTTTTTTCTTAATTTACTAAAAAGTTTGTTTTTGTAGTTGTTGCGTAAAAATCCTGAAAGAAGATTGGGCTCAAGTGAAAGAGATGCAGAAGATGTTAAAAAACAAGCTTTCTTCCGCAATATTAACTGGGAGGATTTGTTACACAGAAAAGTTAAACCACCATTTGTACCAACAGTGGTAAGTAAACGTATTATTAAAGTTTTCCAAATTAAATTGTTTATTTATTAGCGATGTTTGGAAGATGTAAGTAATTTTGATGAAGAATTTACTTCTGAAAAACCACAATTGACGCCGCCTAAAGAGCCAAGACCTTTAACAGATCAAGATCAAAATTTGTTCAAGGATTTTACGTATATGGCAGACTGGTGCTGACAGTAGGAGAATTACAAGAAAACTACAGTTATCTTTCAGCCGTAATTATATTATACCTATTATTATAACTTTCTATTATCAATATTGAGCAGCATAAGTGTCTACATAACAAGCAAACACGCTGAGTTAATCAGATTAATTATTTTTACATGTTTTTATATTAATTAATCACTGTTTTTTTCTCTTCTGGTAATTATTATCATTATTATAATAATCGTTATTTTAAAGGCAGGTGTTGTCTTAATATTTATGTAAAAAAAATAAATCGGTTATTGATAGAAGTAAGTTTAAAAAACTAATAAAGTTTACTAAGGTATCTCGAAGAATTTCTTTTTATGTTGTTCATTATTAATTTTTAAACATTATTTAATAACTTGTATATATTTTATAGGAAATTATTTAATTGTATTAAAATAAATTGGATAAGAATGAAAATTTAAGGATTTACACTGTGCGGGAATAAAAAAAGGAGATTTTGTTGAAAAGTGCCTGGAATTAGCTCACTTTGCGGATTCTTTTTTGTATATAGTATAATGTAATCGTATTTTTTGACGCTTTAAAGTATATAATATATTATACACACAGTATAATAAACATAAAAAAAACATTTTCATGTAAGTTTTCATACCATAATGTATTAAATGATGAGCTAAGAACAATATCTTGTTTTTATTGACTTTTTTATTATCTTAATTTTATTTCCCAATAGCAAACCATGTTATGAACAAAAATATAACGAAATAACGCAGATTATAAGAAACTAAAGGAAACAAGAATGTTGCAAAATCACAGAGAACATGATTAAGTTGAATTTAATAATGAAAAATCCAATGTATATTTAATTGAATTGTGTTTCAGGCCTATTGTATATCACTTCAATATGGAACAAGAAATAAAGTTCTGAATCAAAAATTATACATTTATTAATGCTTGCTGAAAGGTCATTATATCGTCAACAAAGAAATCAAACCGCCCGACCATCCTTCAATGATCCAACTGAAAATGCCTACCTAAGCTGTCAGTGTATAACTGAATAGATGAGGTAAGTGAGTCTAATAAACCCTTGATATAGTGATATAACTCATCATCACTGTCCTGTTCTTTATAATCTTGTTCACAAATCTCTTTATACAGTTGTAGCAACAATTTCATCATCTGTTACAAATTCGGGAATTACCACATTCACAATTTGTGTTAAATTTATTTCGGCGGTGTTAATACAATTTTTAGATATAAATTGTATAAGTGGTATGTCGTCTGCTTTATCAAATATTTATGCTTCATTATTGACATAAAAGAAAATAATAAAATTGGTATTATCAAGCAGCCTAACATTAGAGAGGATAAAGTGTTAAAAAAGAATTCTTTTTTTGCAATACTACACTTTATTTTGAAAGATGTAGAGTATCAAACGTATACTCTTGAAGTTATAAGCGATTATCTTAGTCGCCTTTATTTATATACCATATTTATCTTTGTTATATATTGTTGACTTTCATCCAAAAATTTTTTGACAGAAAGTACAATGAACTGATAAAGCACTGAATTGGAAAACTGTCAGCAATTTCAACTCCCTGCGCGTATATCTGCAACGCTAAGAATATTAAAATGGTTTGTTTATCCAAACATGTCCCGAGTCTGTAGAAGATATGAACAAAGAACTTTGGATAGAGCGCTATCATAAAAGGCAAGAGAATACACCTTGAAAAACTTAAGGATGCCCAGACACGTTCATTGTTCGCTACTGAAATAGCAAGAAAACTGGAAAATGTAAGTGATTTCGACTAGCCAATAACAACAAACAGTAGGAGGCCATTGAACCAACATAAAAGTAGCAGTCATAGAAAAGCCCAAACAAGTGCTGGTTTACCAAACCCACCAGAGGAAGGAGCCTTGGTTTAAAAACGACTCTAAAGACGCGGTGGATGAGGGAAATAAGATACACAGGAGATACATACAGAGACACACAAATTAGAGAAAGGAACAGTTTAAGGAATCAAGGCGCAGGGCGGACAAAATCTCCAGAGCTAAGAAAACACCTTTAACTTTAAACAGCAAAACCCAAGGAGATAACTACAGAGGCAGTGCATTACTATGCACAGCGTACAAGATCTTTACTTACATGCTGAACCGACGAAGAGGCTTCTTCGCAGAAAAGATTATTGGGGACTATCAAGCGACTTTCAGACTAATCAAAAGGGGGACGCACCAACCCCTACAGTCTTCAACATATCCCTGAAATATGTACATACTACAAATTAATCAACAAATCGTCTCAGATAACAGCATACGCAAAGGACATAAACGTTCTGTGCAGGTCACTAAAAATAGCCAAGGAAGTTGACGCGGACTAGTCAAAATGTACTGGCAGAGTTGTGCTTAAACTTTGTACTCATATTAATTACGTATATACTACCTATTCTACCGTTTATCTACCTTCAGGCCTATAATTTCGTATGAACTGGAATCAAGTCAAAATATTGATTTTTATTAATTCTACAGCCCATTAGTTTTAGATAAGGTTACGTGATCAGGTTACCGTGAAAATTACGTTTTTTTTTGTATTCTTCATTTACACTGATATAAATCATTTTAAACAGTTTTGCATAAAAAATTAATAAAGATATCTAAAAAATCTGGAATCTAGACTGGATTCCCCCCTTAATAAAAGACTGTACCACAAACAGCAGTCCACCTCCCGTTGTTCGTTCAGGTATCGCGCGTGTGCGCCTTTTGAAGGGTGGTGGATTAGCCAGTCAGCACGTGCTCCCCTCTTTAAATTTAATTTTAGTGCACATTTTATCGCGTTGAATCGAAGTTCTATATTGTCTAATCAAATTGTGTTATTTATCTCGATCGAAAGAATCATCTTGGGCCATTGTGTGGGAGAGAGGAGGCATTGAATAAGTAGTAAGAACATTTAATTTATAATTTATTCTTATACTTAAATTGTCAGATTAAGTATATATTTTATTATTCTTTATCTATTGAAAACCAGTATGTATCTACCTCTTTTTGTCGCGCGATCAAAAAGAATATAAGGTGTTTATTCCTTGTATTCTTTTCAATTAAAGATTTACTGTTCGTATCTTTTCGGTTAACTCGCTCAGTATCTGTATCAACAAAGACTAGATAAAAAATTAAAAATCTCCACAGAATTGTGTTTTAAAGAAAATTATCAAAATATGGTAAATAGCCTGCACAAATCAGCTAATGATGCATTAAACATAAGGAACAAAAATAAGAGCAATAAAAAAATATGGTAGATCGATTTAATAGAAGATTTGGTAGAAAAAAAAACAGTTATACACAAAGTGGCTAAACGCAAAATAAACTGCAAATTTAAATACATAAGAATCTAAATCTTGAAGACGCATAAAGTCGAATGTGGTTGTGAGTCATTGGAATATCCCAAACATAAAAAAGAAACCTTATTGGACTCGTCACTAGAAGATGGGTTATAAAAGTTATAGAAAAGGGTCATAAACGACCAGCAAGGACGTTTCAATTAAATTGTCCAAAGCGACAAAAACTGCAAGTAAAATTTTTAACATAATTGAGCATAATCGATGCTTACTTTCAAAGTATAACGATGTCGGTTAAGCAGCACTGATTTTCCTCCTAAATAAAAGAGAAAATGGATAATTGTAGGTGAATTGGAATTGAGGGAGCTGCAGCGACATCATCAACATGTCTTTTTCAATTCCTTCAATCTATTCTCCTAAAGCCCCTCCACAATCTACAAGTCTTCCTATGGAATCCGACTGTTCTCTCAAAACTAATATCAAAGCACCTCACGTTTTGGAAATATATATCGGAAACTCCTCTTCTCTGGCAAAGAAAATATCATGTGGAAAAAGATCCTCCTCCTTTTTTCACTACTGCCTTCATGATGATGTATCAAAAACTGATTCCGATTATTAAAAAATCCAAACGCACAATTGACGATCAATAAGGCCGCTACAGATGAACTACGAAAGGAGGCTTTAAGATCCTGATATTGTTCTCATAGTCGAGTTCAGTTGTGTGTCACTTTTTTGAGTGTATGGACTGTTTATCCATACCGGCGCGCAATATTCTGCAACAGAATAAACCAGCGACAGGGCAGAACATCGCACCGTGGTTGATGCGGCATCCCATGTAGAGCTACAGAGTTTTTGTATGATGTTATTGCGAAGTCTGATTTTTGCAGATGTATTTATTATTATATATTAAAACATGTATTATTTTACATGTTTTTTAATCGAGTATTCTGTTCAAGGTGTCGTCTAAGTATTTAGGGAAATCGTGGTACTGCGTTATGATATTAAAACTGACCTGGAGTTTCCTGTATATCATTTAATTATTCAGATGAAAGGCGCATCTTTGTCTTTTTTAGATTAGCTTTCAGGTCATTAGAGATGATGTCTTTAGCAGTCTCAATCTTTTTATGTTGGACGGCTAGTGTTATATAGCGATATATAGATCTAATATTTGTAAGTTAAAAAGTGTGAGCGTTTCTCAGAAATATCTGTCGGTCACTATGTTGCTGATAAGGTTTATAATAGTCTGGCATTGCACGATTCGTGTGGGTTTATGTATTATGTAGCAGCCTCTCTTATCAAGTCCACAAAAGCCACGGATGTTTTGGGGCATCTTTGAAAACCTGGTAACATTGTTTAGTTATGATTGCTTCTCAAGATTAATTTTTTAAATAATTGACACTATCTTAGAAACACAAACTCCACTTAGAATGTTAATTACTATTGTATGTTTTTATAAATTTTGTTGTGAACATCTATCATGTGCACATTCACCATCAACTGATTTTCAATATTAATGATTGTTTATGAACTAATTGTCCGACCTTTGAGAATCTCGTGAATGGGCTAGGTACAACATTTTTGCATCAAAACTTTCACTTCAGAATCAAACGAAGAATATCGCCACGTAATAAGGTAAAAGTGAGGTTCCACCGAAATTTGAACTCGGATCGTTGGATTCAAAGTCCAGAGTGCTAACAATTACACCATGGAACATGTGTTCTTTCATTTGTAAACAATTCCGGAAGCCATGAAATCTGTAACTATTAAAGAAGGCATGAAGAAGATAAAAAACTTCGGTTCCGCCGAGATTTGAACTCGGATCGCTGAGTTCAAAGTCCAGAGTGTTAACCATTACACCATGAAACATTATTGTTTATTGTTTTTAGGGATTAGAGGAGCATTTAGTGCACATTCTAATACTAAGCTTATTACAGATATTATTTTTACAAGTAATACATATCATTGTGCTTTTACGATCAATACTTGCGGGACATACTGAGCATCTTTTTCTCTTAATTGTTGCACTTGTGTGGGCGGCTGGCGGACCACATATATCAATAAATCTGCTCATACACTCCCGGACAGTACGCCGTAGGTTAGGGTTAGTAGATCTTCTCTGCATATGTGGTATCACTAGTTCCTTTGCTAAATCTTTCAAAAACATTCTGCGTTTGTGAGTCACTCCTATGTTGTAGTTTGGATGTTCCTTCGTAAAAACTATATATGCATTGAGTGCTGCAACATTAATGATGTTGAAGAAAAATGTCATGGGCATATACATGTTTACTTGGCATATATTGAACGAATGTGCATCTACCTCTAAACCCAACGAGTTGTTCATCAATAGTTACATTAGTATCAGGTATGACGCAGGTTTTGCATTGCTGAATAAATAAATCCCAAATGTAGGACACCATTGCTAACTTATCGGTTTCCAAACGCGCGTTCCGGGTTCTCTTGTCGTCAAATCTGACGAATCTTCGTATTTCTTCTTGGCTCGGTATACAGGATTGGCAAATTCATCACAAAATAATTCTCTCGTAGGAACATCCCAGCTTCTGTCAACTCCCGCATTAATAAGTAAACCACAGAATGTAAGAAATTCATCAACAGTTACATCTTTCCACGGTTTTCCTTTTGCTCCATAAACACGTTTGCCCTCTAAATTAGTACAGTTCACAATTTCTTGTACAATAACTGAAACGCTTCTTTTGGTGTTGCAGCCATATGTTTCCTTGCTAGTCCTGGCGCATGCCGAATAATGTTGTGTGGTTGAATTTTATTTTTTGCTGGAGGTTCCAAACTCCATACCAGACCACTTGGAGCAATGTAATCGCTCGTTGAAGGCTTGCCAATACCATCAACATCATCCTCTGAATTCTTGTCACCATAATCAGAACTGGATCCGGAATACTCGTCAGGAACCAATTCAAAATTTCTATCTTCTGTGTCATCATTTTCTGCTTCTGACACATCACTTTCTTCAGAAGGCAGATCATCACATTCAGCTACCCATTGCACCAATATTTCTTCATAATCGGGGTCACCAAATCTCACGCTTTTCACATTCCTTTTTGACGCCATTATCATATGTATCTCACAAGTTCACTCAATCCAACTTCTATTCCAACTGAATGAAAAACAGCTGCACCTACTTTTATACATCCAACAGTTTAACTTACGTTTTAACTTGCACAGACACGCACAATTCCGCGCAGCAGTGTTTAACAAATTATAATAACCCTCAACCTGTAATGAACAAGTGTTGTTGAACCTTGTTCTATAGTAACTAGTAGCACATGGGCTTCGGAGGCCCGGTTTATGTAAATACGAGGTGCTAATGGAAACTATTTTTTTTTCGATTACTAATTACACTTGAATGTTTTTGAATCAAGTGTGTATTGAATAAAGACGTGTTTAGAGCATATCTAAATGCTCAAGCCGATTGAAATTATTTTAAGAAAATTATGAGTAACTAAAATCTCGCCGGGCCTTAGAGGGCCGGTTTATGCATTCTAAAGTTAAAGAACGCATGAAGAAGATAAAAAACTTAGGTTCCACCGAGATTTGAACTCGGATCGCTGGATTCAAAGTCCAGAGTGCTAACCATTACACCATGGAACCTGTGTTTTTTCATTTGGAATTCTTTCTTTTTCGTCAATTTATACACATCCTGTATTAATAATAATAAACAATATTTATTGTTATATTTAATTATATAACAGCGTAATTATGGAAACAGGTAGCAAAAATCAAAGACATTCTCCTAGACAGCGAAGTTTAAAGGAGATGTTATTAAATTGGCAGAAAAAGAACGTAAGGCTGTAACACAAACACAAGACAGCTATTGTAGATTGAGGCATCGTGCAAAAATTTGCCAGGACAAAAAGGGACAATTTCAAGAAATTGACGAGGCAGTTTTCCGATTCTTTCAAGAAAAACGAAAGAAGGGACTGTCTGTAAGATACGATTTACTTCGTGAGGAAGCAATAATAATAAATTCATAATTGGAGCAATCTCATAAAGACCTTAGATATGCATTCAAGAATTATAAATTATAAAAGTACCTGATGTGTGAATACATTTAATGGCCCCTCTTCACTATGGCTCATGATGGTCCACTAGAATGGTCACCATCATTGATGTTGGCTAGCATGTTTGCTTCCACACAGTGGTAGAGTCTAGATGGACCACTGTAAGCAACAGGTGGTATTGACGACCGAAATAGTTAAGTAAGGATGGTCCACTATGTAGACTTGCTACTGCGCATGATGGCGCCCTTTGATGTGTGGTGTCCCAAAGCCATCCTTTGTCATTACCATTATCCACAATATCCACCACTTCAGCCCATCACCCCTCTACACAATGGCGATGGGTCGCATTGGACCATGATAAGCCATAGTGAAGAGGGGCCATAAAGTACAATTACTTTGATTAGGTATGCACATCTGAAGTTGCTAAAACAACACATATAGAAAGGATCTGAAAAATTTGACACATTTGTAATACAAATTCAATTTACATTTATCCACAAACAATAAAAATACAATAACATTAAAAAAATACAAAATTTCCACACATTTTTTCCTTATTTTTTATTTATCGTTATTGGTATGCCATACATCGCAGCTTCTTCCAAGATTTTCTTATTACTACGAAGATCACCATCCAACTTCATTCTACGATCTTTAATACTTTCCTCTTGAGATTCCGGTGTAGGATCTCCTATACCATCGGTTATTTGATAATAAACAGATGTTAAATCTGAATCGACAATGGCAAGATGAACACTACAAATACATAAAGTTTTTAAAAGTATCAACCTCAGTATCAGTATCAACCTTTTATGTTCTTGGTCTAAAATAAGATATTTTTTCATTTCTTCGATTGATATACCATCGAATGAGGAAATTGGAATAAATGTTAATGTTTTGGATGATTTAGTTTTCTTTGCTGTTATGTACATGGAAGAAAGAATTTCGTTGAAATGGTACTCGACATCCCAATATTTTTTAACTAAAATTTTAAAAATTAATTTTTTAAGGTTAGAATTTTATAAAATCCTTTTTAACACCTTCACATAATTCTAAGAAAACATGAGAAGTAATTGCCGCTTCTTTTCGAGTTTTACAACCCATCTTCATAATTTCTTCCACCTATAAAAAGTAATTAGTTAATAATTTTTAATCGAAAAAATAAAATTAACCTCACAAAACACTCCATATTTTTGTTGTCATTTTGATCGCCATCTCTTGATAAAAAAGACAAATAATTAGTAAATAAAAAGTTTTCTGTAAATTTTATTCAACTTCATCAATTTGTGGACCTCCACCGGTACTGTTAAATTGTCTATTAGGGGGTCTATAAGTACCACCAGATGAATATAATCTCATTACAATCGGTTTGCAAACTATTTCAACTTCTTTTTTCTTTGCTAAAAATTGTTCCTCGTCACTATCTTTATGAGTATTCATCCACGATAAGGCATCATCACAAGTTTTATCCAACTTATTTTTATCTTCCTTGGGAAGTTTTGATGATATATCAGGATCGTCACTCATCGCTTTAACTTGATAAACATAAGTTTCTAATTCATTCTTTGCAGCTACGGAAGCTCTAATTTTTTCATCATCTTCTTTAAATTGTTCTGCATCAGAAATCATCTTGTCTATTTGTTGTTTAGACAATCTCCCTCTGTCGTTTGTAATTACGATTTGATTTTGCCTCCCTGTTGCTGTTTCTTTTGCGAAAACGTTTAATATTCCGTTTGCGTCAATATCAAAAGTTACTTCAATCTAAAATTTTTATTTTTATTGATGCATAATGCGGATTTTATTTAATTACTTGAGGCACACCACGAGGTGCGGGAGGTATTCCAGCTAAATCAAATTTTCCAAGAAGATTATTATCCCTGGTCATTGCTCGTTCTCCCTCAAAAACTTGAATTAATACACTTGGTTGGTTATCAGCGTAAGTTGAAAATATCTAAGTTGAAAAAATTATATATTTTTTTTAATATGAAATGATATTAAGATTTACTTGAGCATGTTTTGTTGGAATGGTTGAATTTCTTCTGATCAAAACAGACATTACGCCACCTGCTGTTTCTATTCCTAAAGATAAAGGAGTAACATCTAATAATAAAAGATCTTTAACGTTGCTGGATTGATCGCCGGCTAAAATGGCAGCTTGAACAGCAGCTCCATAAGCAACGGCTTCATCTGGATTTATGGACTTATTCAATTCTCTTCCGCCGAATATGTCTTGGAGAAGTAATTGGATTTTAGGAATCCTCGTTGATCCACCAACAAGTACAATATCATTAATCTAAAATTACAAAAATTAATTCTTTGCATTATAATACAGCAAAATCTCGATATAACGGACCTCCATACTATTAACATTATCTATACGATGCATAAAACTGTTATTTAGCGGTAGATTGTTGTATACTTTTATTAAACTAAATGTAGAACTAATACAAGACCTAGAGCCGTACGTTTCTTAAGACGGCTAAACCCAAATGTTTCTAATTCTAGTTCTAGTATTAGTTTTGATGCCAACCTGGGGTAGCTTCTGCGAAGGTATAGATAATACGCCTACAGTTGCTCGCCTGCATAAAGTCCTGGCAAAAGAAAAACAACATTGACCTAGGCCACCTATGCAAACAAGATGGAAAATACACCGAGGATGCGTTGGAGCTCCTATTGAGTACAAATTTTCCAAGTTGCCAACTCCAAGAAGAACAAGAGCAAGGAATATTATATCCCATCTTCCTAGCCCTAAATTCAGTCCAAAACAAGCAACAACTGCGATCTCCTCATTTGAATGCTTTATGACACATGCAATTCTTGTATTAATTACTGAAAAAAAATGAATACATAGATCTAATAAAAGAAAATTTCACTAGAAAGCGAGATGCGCAGAATACCACTGCAGCTGAAGTAAAAGCATTTATTGGTATTTTAATAATAAGTGGAATGTTGAGAACTTCCCATCTTAGTTTTTTAGACATGTGGAATACCGATAGCACTGGAATTGAATTTGTTCGCTTATGCAAAGTTATCTTATGCATGAGCTCCAAGAGGTTTTTGTTTTTAATGAGATGCATTAGATTTGACTCTCTGTCAAGCAGACCAGATCGTCTAAACATCGACAAGATGGCACATATAAGAGATATATTCGATATGCTTATTCCGTTTCGAGGGCTGATAATCTAGCTGATTTTAGAACATTCTATATGTATTTTATATGTTAGAACCTAAGACTTTACACTGAAGCTCAACCACATGGTACAAATGCAAAGAGCAAGTATCCTGGTGAGGTAGTGAAGGGACTTGTTATTCCTATCAAAGGTTCAAATAGGAATATTACTGCAGATAACTGGCATTCTAGAATTGCTCCATAATTATTCCCTTACCTTTGTTGGTACTTAAAAAAAACAAGAGGGAATTCCTCATGCATTTCTACCAAGCAGACATCGCCAAGCAAAACGCAGTCTATTTGGTTATAAAGATAAAATGCTGCTGGTATCGTATGTACCAAAGAAATATAAATCGATTGTACTTATTTCAATTTTTCATGATCAACCTACGATCGATCAGTCATCTACCGATCAGAAACCAGAAGTGATAACGTTTTACAACGTCACCAAAGGTGGCGTAGATGTTGTAGACCAGCTTTCTGCCACATATTCAAGAAGAACAAAGAGGTGGTCACTGACCTTATCTTTTGCCTTATTAAATATTGTAGGCATAAACGCATTTGTAATTTATAACTACATGAAAAATGACAAGGCAAAATGTTGCGAAGAACATTTCTCAAAGAAGTCGCTCTTAATTTGGCCGAAGAACTATTGAATTTTAGAAGAACCATTGCAACTATTCCTAGATCTCTAAAGAAAAGATTAATTGATGTGACTCCTGCAAAAACTCATTAACTTTACTTCTGCTCAAAGGGATGGATCAATACCTTAGGAATGTAGTGCTTGTTGCTAATCCACTTCAACCAGGCCAACATGCTTAACAGAAAGCAAAATCAACAATTACTTTCCTCCATGCTTTAAGGAGCATTTTAGAGGAAACAATTATAACCAAAGAGTGCATTCATAGAGACTATGTGTATTCAAAGACATAGAGGGTGCTTTTGATAACACCTCCTATGAATCCATAGAGAAAGCTGTAAACGTAGAAGGCATACATCCGTCGATGAGCAATGGGTGTATAGCCATGCTAAAAAGTCGGCAGATCACAACCAGTTTGGGAGGCGAGTCATTAACTATTAAGGCACTTAGAGGATGCTCCTTAGAGGCACTTAGGGGGAGTGTTTTCACTCCGCCTATGGTGCCTAGTAGTTGACGACTTGTTGAACATCGTAACAAAGAATGAATTCATGATTCACGGATATGCAGATGACATAGTAATCACAATCCGACGTAAATATGATACAATCATAACCCAATGAATGCAGAAAGCTTTACTGAATACTACCCGTGGTGCAGAAATAATGAGATCAGCATTAATCAGAACAAACTAGATATAGTTTCGAAGGAAGCTACAACTCAGAGCATCCTCCATTGAAGGCACAGCTACTAACCTCAAAATAGAGCAGTAATACTGGACAGTAAATTAAACTGGAATTCGCCAAGGTGGGGAAAGAGCCATGGCTTGTAATGGTTTTTCTTTTGAAGTATGTTAGCGTCATGTATATCATTTATTACTCCTACCGATTCCTGTAAAGTCGGTTATCCGCTCTTGAGTGATGTTCATGCTCTTCCTCTTTTGCAATCAAGTCGTAGTGTACACTCGTGCTTTACTGATTTTTTAAGGTTGTACGCTCCCGCGTGAGTTGGGATTGTTTAAAGAAGTTTCATGTTGGTTTTTGGAAAGAATTCTTCTTCGCGACTTAGCCGGATGTAAACCTTGTAGAAACATAGACACTTGTGTTCACTTGTACATACAAAAAGAGGCAGTTTCGAATGCCTTGTCACTAAAAACTTGCTCTTCACTCAAGTTAATGCAGGGTAACCTCAGAGGATATTTCGAAATCCTCAGCAACCCATTTCTAAACCACTTGATTGAAATTAAAACAGATTATACACCGACAGAATATAATTTCGACCAGCCATATGATGATTGGACCAAGGGTGAGCCTCAACTCAAAAGAGGAAAACTAGCCTAGTTCGCCAATGCTTCAAAGACAGTTGGATCCTTAGTGGGTATGGGCATCAGTGAACTATGTAGCCGCATTAAGTTGCCCCTAAGCCCGGATACAACCATTTTTCAACCTGAAGTTTTTGCATAAAGTTTGCAATGTTTTGAGCCTTGAAAGGGGACAAAAAGGGGCATCAATAAACACTTTTACGCCCTAAAGTCCCCTTAAAAGTCTACACGTGTGAATCCGCACTGGTCAAGGAATATACCGGCAACCGGAGAAAATTCTCCAGGGTTAATGAAATTACTGTATGGTGGGTTCCAGGTCATAAAGATATTGAGGGCAGTGAAGAGGCCGACAAGCTGGCCAAAGAGGCTGCAAGAATGTCTTTTATTGGACCCCAACTCGACTGGGAACTACAAAATACCTACTTAAACAGGTAATTTTACTGGAAAGAACTTCCCATCTTCGTATTAATCCGTTACATCGAGATTTTACTGTTCCTAAATACACTTACGTCTCGTTTTGTTAATTTAGCATCTCTAATAGCTTTCTCAACAGGTTCTAAAGTTCTTCTAAAAATGTCAGAATTTAATTCTTCAAACTTAGCCCTACTGATGGAGGCATAAAAATCAACACCATCAGCTAAAGAATCTATTTCAATGTTAGCCTGGGTAGCCACTGAAAGAGTTCTTTTTGCTCGTTCGCAAGCAGTTTGCAATCGCCTTAATGCCCTTTTATTTTTAATAACATCGATGTGATTTTTCCTGTTGAATTCATCGGCGAAATATTGAACGAGTCTATTATCGATGTCTTCCCCCCCTAAATGGGTATCTCCCGAGGTGGATTTAACTTCAAAGATTCCTCCAGCTATTAGCAAAATGGAAACGTCAAAAGTTCCTCCACCCATATCAAAAATAAGAACAAATCTTTCTGAATCATCGCCCTAAAAAAATAGGATTTAAAATGATATTGAAAAAATTGTAAAAAATACTTTTTTGTCTAATCCATAAGCAATTGCTGCTGCTGTTGGTTCATTAATTATTCTTTGTACTTCTAACCCAGCAATCGTTCCAGCGTCTTTAGTTGCTTGCCTTTGAGCGTCATTAAAATAAGCTGGAACGGTGATAACTGCTTGACTAACGACTTGCCCTAAATAAGCTTCAGCGATTTCTTTCATTTTTCCAAGAACCATCGATGAAATTTCTTCTGGAAAAAAAGATTTTTGTTCACCTTTATATTTTACGACAACTTTCGGTCGCCCCTTTTCATTAATAATTTGAAATGGCCAAAGTTTCATGTCTTCTTGGACAACAGAATCGGTAAATTTTCTACCAATTAACCTTTTAGCATCTAGCAGAAGAAAAGAATTAGTTGATTGATAAAACATAATTTAGACTAAATCTTACCATAAATGGTGTTAGATGGATTGAAAGCTACTTGATTTTTGGCAGCATCACCAATTAATCTTTCCACCTCGTTAAACGCCACATAACTTGGTGTTGTTCGGTTTCCTTGATCGTTGGCAATAATTTCAACGACACCATTTCTAAAGACACCCACACATGAATATGTTGTGCCCAAATCAATACCAATAGGAAGAGATCTACTAGAAGCCATCGTTAATTTTTCTTTAATTTTATATACTTTTTTGTAAAAACAGTGACATAGAATTTATGTTGGACACATGACCGAAATACGAATGATGTCATTAAAAAAATTTGACGTAGGAGTGACACTCTCATGGGTTTCTTATATAATCAAGGATAAATCGAAATGAGATGAAATAAAAGAAGTTGAGACGAATCAAAAACTGATAATGGCGATAATTAAAGAATCTTTTCAAAAAAAAAGGATAAAGAGGGTGGTCACGGAAAAGTTCACTTGATTTAGAATTCCTATAGCGTGGACGCAATGCCTATAAGCGTTTAATATCGCCCGTTGAGCCCTTGTACCCTTCGTGATGTTTGACGAAGGGCTGACACGTATTAAGACCGCTGGTGGGTGAATTTCAAAGCAACTGAACCAAAACGGATTTCCATTGGAATTTGTATGCGATGGAACAAAAAAAGCCGGTGTTGGGTCCCGTTTATTTTATCTTTTTTATAAGCTAGATGAAAAATTTTGTAAACTGGAAACCATAATGTATAAAACACATATAAGAGGGTTGTATTTGTAAGAAAATCCTTTTTTTTTTTTGATCTTTTAGTCTTTTTTTGTATATCAAAATTTGATACTCACTAAGATGTTGGAATCTTAATCCAGAAAATTATAAATCTGTTAGTCAACCGCATTATATGGATCTCTGAATTAGACCCTTCCTTGAGGAGAATATCTCAAGGGGTTAATACCTAAAATGGATTAACAAGACTGCTCTAGGAGTGACGCAGAAAGCGTCGGTTATGCATAAACATGTTTGCATTGGATCTCAGCCCACTCTAGTTGTGTCCCTCGTTGTTCTATTGTTGTCCACCGTAGATCGGCGAACGATAATGAATCGGCATTGTATAGTTCAAGAGTCATAGAGTCAACGGAGCCTTTGGAGATTTACAGCCCGGAAAGCAAACTGTATCGTGTGTGCTCACATCTTTTGGAACGAGTAAATATTTTGTCCTATCTTTACAAAATTGTGAATTATTATATATTATTTATCACAAGGCCTTCTTATTGAATGAGGTTCAATGCTCCCAAATTATGTGTGTAGCCCAAAAATATTAACCGAAAACACTAAAGAATAACTCCGCACCACACTTTGATATGTGCAGGCTGAGAAGTCCACATGGATTTTCATAAAGTTTCTTAATAAGTCCACTAAGGCCTACTTTTATCATCTTTGATAAACTGATTGGTTATATACCATATATTGGATGACGTTTATGTCCACGAAGATACGAAAGGCTGTAATGCGTAGTGAGGGCGAACTCTAGGAACAGATAACTTCACCTGCTAAAATTTCCTGCTGAGATACAATTGATTCTAAATATGTATGTACTTGTAGGTTCAATTCAGTTCAATGTAGGGAGATTTTCCTCTGTTTATATATTACATAATTCTGTAGCAAGATGGTTAATACCATTGCAATAGTTAGTAACATAGAATAGGGTGCTGTAGAAGTATTTATCCCATAGGAGTTGTCAGATCACTTTGGAGGCGCGGCTGGCCGAATAGGGCAATGCCTCTGAGTGGTACTGGAGAAATCAAATACCCAGGACTGACCAAAACGGACAAGGGGCACTTATTTATGCTTGAGAAGACATCTTAAATAGCGAAAGAATCAGATATGATCACCGGCATATAGATCCAGAAGATAAGGGGAAAAAGCATTAATGAACCATTTTGGATATCCCAAGAAACTTAAAATGTCAAGTTGAAGACATGAACGGTGATTCGACGTATTCGAGTGCATGCTGCACTCTACATACTACAACATACCAAAAATTAAAACATTTAATGCTAGGTTTAATGCGAATGGTCACAAATACATGGCTTTCTTCCAGAAACACTACTGTACACAGAAAAAGGACTAGGTGGCGATAAAGAAAATGTAGTACGAAATCAGATAGACTATATATTGATAGGTAGATGTTATAGAAACTGAATTAAAGGTGTGAGAACCTATCCTGGTTCAGACGTCGGTTTTGATCATAACCTTGTGCTTGGAAAACTTGAGATTAGATTAAAGAAAGTTCAGAAAAGAAAACGGATGAGACCTAGCTTTAAAAAACTGATAGAAAATGGGTGACTGAAGAAATCCTAACTTGGACAGAGAAATGAAGAAATGCAAGTATAAAGACAACAAGAAATGCGAAGAAATCAATAAAATATTACAAAACTCATAAGAGAGGCAAAGAAAAGTTGGATGGAAAAACGCTGTCAAGAACTCGAAGTATTACAAGAAAAACATGATCTTTTCAACATGTACAAAAGAATAAAAGAATTATGTGGAACTAATACAAACATTCACAGGTCATATTAGAAGCAGAAGTAAAAACAAGATAATGATGAAAGGCTCAACATCCTAACAAACTTCTTAAATAAAAAGACTTCATTCCAGAACCTAAAGAAAGTGTAACAAACAAGTGTTCACAATATTATGGCCTTAGAATCATCCACCAGCGAATATACACAAAATGTGATCAATATGTGAGAGAAGAACAATTTGATTTCTGTCTGGGTCATGAAACTAGAGGTCAATCACAGGATCATCCACTATATTTTTATAAACTATGAAAAAGCTTTTAACCGAGGACAGCACACGGAGCTGATAAATATACTTTTTAACGTGGAGTAGACCAAGGGGACATCAATGTGATCAAAAATTAGTAGGTATTAGGAGGAAACAGTATCTATAAGGATAGAAGATAAATTGATCAACGGCATACCCAGAAGTGGGGTGAGATAGAGATATGTACACCAATTCTTTTCAACATATATTCTAGAAAAAAATATTTCAAAATGCAATAGGAAATATTCAGGGATGAATAAAAGTCTACGGTAGAATTGCGAGTAATATAAAATATAGTGGCTAACAGACAAGAAGGGCTGCAAAATACTATTTACACGATTTCAAGAGAGAGAGATGCTTTTGGCCTTGAGATAAAAAACTTTGAGATAAAACTGGATGCTGGATGATAAAGGATTTGAATTCGAAAGTAGAAGTGCGTTGTTGCATAAATAATACAAAGAGCGTATTCCTCAGAATGAAAAAATTACTAACAAACCCCACACTATGGTTAAACATCAGATACAGACTTATGACAGAGAATAACCAGAAGTGACACTGGCGATATCTTGCCAAATCTTATCGCCTAAATTAAGTTATTTGTGTTTAAGTTGTCTCTCTCATTCATTGTGCGTTAATTGCGCCTGTGGTTCCTCACGATAAGATGGCGGATATTTAAATTGAGGTCATAAAACGAGAAAACGAGAAAACGCCGCCAACATCAAACGAATCGACGTCAGTGTCACTTCTGGTTATTCTGTGCTTATGATATTTAGCATATAGACTAATGATTTAGCATATCTAATCCTTCTAATCCTAATATATTCAATTCTTTGAAAGCCTTTAAAATTTGGGTAATGTGTAGTATGTTTGAAATATATGAAACATATGTACAACCTTAATACGTATTAGTACTGTTAAAAGAAAGTTGGATTTAGCATCATTAAAACTTCAAAATGAATGAAAGAAAAGGTATAAAGCTGAAATGTAGTTGATACAATTACAAAATGAAGTTTTAGAAGAAAAATTAAGAAAAGATAAAGTTGATTTTTTTAAATAGTTGTTTTTTAATATATTTTGACATTTTCTTTATTGCTAAAATCAAGAAGATGAAATTTAGAGAAATTTCAGCAGAACAGCAAAGTTTGTTTCTCCAACGTAGAATTTGTCTTCTACGCATTTTGTGGAAGCAATCAAGAGTATGAAGCTAGATCCCCAGGATATCCTGACAAGTTTCGGATTTGATACGCTTGTCAATTAAAAGTGGAAACAGAAATGCTTTTCAAGGTATGAAGATTATCTTATGATAAACACAACAAATTAGTGGTGTCGATTAGTGGTGGAACAATAAAGTTTTAAAAATTCGTATAAAATCCAGTTCTTGGAATATGAGTATGAAAATTTCCCAAAGTGTTAATAAGAGTGTCCTCTTTCGAATGAACCAACAGGTTTTGAAAAATAACTTTTAGTTTTTGAGAAAACAATATTTGAAATTTTGATAAAATTTTCGATGTTGCAATTTTCATCGATAATTTTAAAAATTCACTATAAAATTAATTTCTTGAAGGATCCTAGTGTAAATATCACCAATTATTAATTAAAGTATCCTCTTTTTAGTGTAACAAGTCGTTTTGAAAAATCACTTTAGTTGTTGACAAATAAATTTTTGAAATAACCAAAAATTTTTTCGAATTTTGCAATTTTCGCCGATTAGGTTTTAAAAATTCGTATAAAATCCATCTCTTGGAATATGAGTATCAAAATGTCCCAAAGTGTTAATAAGAGTGTCCTCTTTCCAATGAACTAGCATGTTTTGAAAAATAACTTTTAGTTTTTAAGAAAACAATATTTGAAGTTATTTGATGTTGCAACTTTCATCGATAATTTTCAAAATTCGCTATAAAATTAATTTCTTGAAGGATCCTTGTGGATATATCACCAATTATTAATTAAAGTATCCTCTTTTTAATGCAAAAAGCCGTTTTGGAAAATCACTTTTAGTTCTTGAGAAAACAATATTTCAAGTTTTGATAACATTTTCGATGTTGCAATTTTGATAATTTTCAAAATTCACTATAACATTAATTTCTTGAAGGATCCTAGTGGAAATATCACCAATTATTAATTAAAGTATCCTCTTTTTAATACAAAAAGCCGTTTTGAAAAATCACTTAGTTCTTGAGAAATAAATTTTTGAAATAACCGACAATTTTTTCGAATTTTGCAATTTTCGCCGATTAAGTTTTAAAAATTCATATAAAATCCATCTCTTGGAATATGAGTATGAAAATTTCCCAAAATGTTAATAAGAGTGGCCTCTTTCCAATGAACCAACAGGTTTTGAAAAATAACATTTACTTTTTGAGAAAACAATATTTGAAGTTTTGATAAAATTTTCGATGTTGTAATTTTCATCGATAATTTTCAAAATTCGCTATAAAATTCATTTCTTGAAGGATCTTTGTGGAA